GAGAAGCTCATGGAAGATGCTGAAGGAGGCAGGGTCTAAGGTGTGCCTCTCAGAATTGGGCACAGGCCATTCTCCACTCTGCCTCCTCCCCAGTCTCCTTGTCAGGTGGACTACAGGGCAGATTTGGTGTCCTGAAGGATCGGGGCCGTTCACCAGCAGATAAATGAAGTGCGTAGTGGGTCCGCAGCATTTGGGTAGGCACTGTCAGCAGAGGATGTGTAGGGCGACAGACTACCACCAGAGTAGGAAGCCTGAACACGTAAGACACCAGCTTTCTTCTCTCGGCCTCTTGGAAGTAACCGGAGGAGAATCTGAGGGCAGTGGCTAAAGCTACTGGAACCTGGATATCATTGTAAATAGGACCTCATTTGCATCTACAGGTCTGTTAGGCCCAAGACATTGAGTTACAAAATGAGTGAATAGATGAGATGAGGCAGGTCCAATCATGCCTTCATTAGAGAAATGTTTATTGAGCCTCTGCATGCCATGCACAGTGCTAGATGCTGAGTGTACAATGGTTTACAAAACAGAGGTGACCCCTGCTCCACAGAGCTTACAGCCTAATAGCCATACAGCTCAGTCTGGTGCCATCATCTGTGTACATGCTATTCAGGAAAAGCACAGGATTCATGAGATCATCTTAAAGGAAGGATTATTTTAGATTAGGAGGCAGGGGAGGACCGTTGGGAAGTGATATTTAAACCCAGACCTGGGCCAGGCATGGGGGCTCACACCTGTAATCCCCAGTACTTTGGGAGGCAAGGCAGCGGATCACCTGAGGTCAGGAGTTCAAGGCCACCCTGGCCAACATGGTAAAACCCCATGTCTACTAAAAATGCAAAAATTAGCCAGGCATGGTGGCACGCCACTTTAATCCCAGCTACTTAGGAGGCTGAGGTGGGAGAATCACTTGAATTCAGGAGGCAGAGGCTGCAGTGAGCTGAGATCGCATCACTGCACTCCAGTCTGGGCAACAGAGCAAGACCCCATCTCAAAAACCAACCAACCAACCAACCAACCAACCCAGACCTGCAGATAAATAAGAGTTAGCAGGGTTAGCAGGTGAGGAGCAGGGGATGTGCCTCCAGGCAGCAAGAATGGCAAGTGTGAAAGGTTTGGGGACAAATCCTTGGCCATTTGGAGGCTGAAAGGCCAGTCGGGCAGGAGCATGAAAGCAAGAAGAGGAGGCTGAGGAGGGAGGCAGGGCCAGACTTCACAGGGCCACATTAGGACTTTGGACTTAAGCCTAAATCCAGCAGGAAGGGGAGTGACGTGATCAAATTTATTTTTACAAAGATCGCTTTGGCATCTGTGAGGAGGAGCAGATTACAGGAGGGTATGCAGGGGAGAGGTATGAAAGCTGGCAGTTGTCAAAGGGACAGGTGATGGTGGCATGGCCAAGGTGATGGGGTGAAGGGGAGGAACTGAAGAAGCAGTTTTTAAGAAAAATTGAGACAGGCTGGGCACCATGGCTCATGCCTGTAATCACAGCACTTTGGGAGGCCAAGGTAGGCAGATCACGAGGTCAAGAGATCAAGACCATCCTGGCCAACATGGTGAAACCCCGTCTCTACTAAAAATACAAACATTAGCTGGGCATGGTGGTGCGTGCCTGTAGTCACAGCTACTTGGGAGACTGAGGCAGGAGAATAGCTTGAACCTGGGAGGCGGAGGTTGCAGTGAGCCGAGATGGCGCCACTGCACTCCAGCCTGGCGACAGAGCAGGACTTCATCTCAACAACAACAAAAGAATTGAGACAATAAAGGTTTTTCTCACACCCTTGCCTTGGTATAGACGGCCTGAAACATTGGCTTCAACAGGCAAACAGCATATATTTTGGCCATGCTAATCTGTCCCTAGTGTGGGCCGTTGTGTTTTAGGTTAGCTGGGACCAAAGTCCCCTGCCTCAACCAGGGCCGTATCTGACCAGAGTCAGTTTTCTGTCTAAAGATTTCCTGACAAAGCTTTCACAACTTTCTTGCTCATGTTTAAAATAATTATGATGAGGAAATAGCAATTATCGTAGGAAATTCCTGTTTGCATTTCATCTGAATTTCTCTCACATTACTTCTTTCTTTTATTTTAAAGATGCTAAAATTAAGTCACCTGCGCCACCAAATATGAATGATGTCATAACGACAGTTCTGAATTGCGTCTGTCCCAAAGCCAAAGTGACCTATTCGTGAGCAGCAAAGAAAAATGGCCGAATATCCTCAGAAAAAGAGCCCAATTAGAGTTTTGCTCACTGTGGAGTTCTTTGTCTTTGCTACTTAACATGTGGACCCAGCACCCAGTAGCTTGTTAGAATTCAGGACCGAGAAGGAAGCTGCAGTTGAACACAAATCCCCAGGCAATTTGTAAGTACTGGACATTTTGAGAAGCACCATGGTTAGGTCACCCTAGGGCCATCTAAAAGTGGGTGGGCAGCAGCAGGTGCCAGGTATTTGAAATACAGTGAGACAGAGCAACTGGTTAGGAAAACCCCACTGGTCCAACAGGAACTGGCTTTTCTCTGGAAGCCCCAAGCTCCCAAGTCACGTAGAGCATTGCAGCCAAGCTCTGAGACAGTGTGTTGGCTGCCAGTTGTGTGGCTGGTGAGAGGCTCTGAGTGGACCCTCCCCTGGTGCTGAAACACTGTCCGGTAGAAACTAGGACCCGTAGGGACACATGGGGAGGTGTTCCCCCTGGCAGCACCAGAGGCTGCGGGGGGTTGAGCTCTCCTTCCCCCTCCCTCCGTAATGCGGAGAGTTAGGTTCTTGGCCTCTTCACCTGGCTGCTAAGAGCCCTCATTGCTTGTGGGTGGTTTGGGTGACTTTCCTGCTTCCTTCTGAATGGAGGCGTGCTGCTGAACAGGGCAAGGACAACGTGGCATCTCAGCAAAACATACCCTGCGGTGGCTTTTGCTAGAACAGAACACTGAGTTCCAGGGGTTCTAAAAGCACTGCTCATACTGCCTGCCTATGGGGTCAGCTCCTGCAGGCCGATGACCCCTGGCACCCCTCAGTCTGGCTCTCACTCTCTACTGGAGGAGTAGGTGACACAGACACCAGACACAGCCTGGCCAAACAAGGACACTTTGTTTCATTACTGTGTTCTTGAGAAGTCTTTCAAGGCACAAACCTCGATCAGAATCGAATCACGTACCTCTGTCTAACTAGAGCTGGTCCTCCCACATCATCAGACAACTGGATGAAGTTTGTGGGCTGTTTAAAGCATATGGTTTGTAAACACTGTAAAATCAAACATTACTTCTGACTTTTATTTACTGTAGCATTTCACATTACTTAGCACCAAAATAGCTGATGAGGTCTTCTCTGCCTTTGTTCTTTCTCCTGTTCTTTTTCTTATGCTTCTTTGCTCCCTGCCTTCTGCAGCAGTGGTTTCTCTGCCCTGATTCTTCCTTTCCCAGCTTATCACCCCTCCTCCTGCACGTCTGCCCACCAGCTCCACACCGCTGTCCTCCCTGGACCCACTCACTCTCTCCCTTTCCTCCCCCTGTGCCTCTCTTGCTGCCCCTTGATCCTCTGGGATGTCTTAGCTACCTTTCCCTCTCTCTGCTTTCACTTCCAAAAGCTGCAGGCGCTCCTTACTCACGCTCGACTCCCCCCTGCCTCCACCAGGCTATTTTCTTTTGCCTCCTGATACCCACCACAGAGTCCCTTTTTTCCTCTTTCCTCTAAAGGAAGAAACATGGGGATCAGATAATTGTAGAATCAGAGTCACAAGGGACACTGCTTGTGCTACACTGGCGCTTACTTCTGAGTCAGAAAATCTTTCTTCTCCTATCACCTTCAATCATGGCTGCCCCCCACCCCATCCCTCCTTAGAGCAGGAGAGGCTGGGGAAGAGAAAACTTCCAGGCTCCTTCACCAGCGCTTTCACCCCTCTTTCCTGTCTCAGCACACACACACACGCATGCACACAAGCGCACGCACATATAAGCACACATATGCACGCATGCAGGAATGCGCACATATGCACACACAAGCACGTGTACACATGCAGGGGTGCACACATATGCGCATGTAAGCACACGTGCACACACGCAGGGGGGCTCGCCCAGACTCACAAACTCCGGATGCCCCAGTGCAGACAGTGTTTGTACCTGGCCTCCCCTAAGGCCCTGAGCTTCCTCTCCAGTGTCTCTCTCCTCTCCAGCCAGGCTGACCTGTGCCTTGGACACATGATTCTAGTGTGAGGTGGTGGCGAGGGACAGCCATGGTTGGGACTCCTTGCTCCAAGCGCAACTCTTGGGTGGCGGGGAGGGCGGCAATGATCAGAGCAAGCAGGAAACTCATGTCAAAGCCAGCTTCCACCTGGGGTCATGTTTAGTCAATCAGTTGACAGTCAATGCTCTTATCAAGTGAGCTGCTTTCCATGCCACTGGGCAGGGCATCTTGAAAACAGTCAATACAGACGGAAAATGAACAGAGCCCTGAAGATACACCCTTGTAACCATAAAACAATGACTCTAAAATGCAGTATTCTCAGCCAGAGCTTCTTCAAGTACTAGGGTGCTATTTCCTTCATAGCTGGGGAAACAGTTACATTGAGTAAGTTGCTTGGGGACCACAGAAAAATCTCTTGACTTTCCAGTACTTGGCTTCTCACACTGAACATTCATTTGAAAGGCCCAAGGAACATTAATTTGAACAGAGATGACAGTCTCGGCTAGGTGTTGACTAGGAGGCCAGCCTCACACAGACAGGGTCTCTCTAGCCCAGTCCTGCTTCCACATCCCCGCCCAGACTTGCTGGCTGCCCGCGGCACAAAGCTGCACCTTAATTCCTAATGCAGCAGTGCCCACCCCTTGGAGGACAGGAGGAGAGCTGCCTGCAAACCCTCCAGGTGAGCGGGGCTTGCAGGTGAGCTAGGACATGCCCCACCAAGTTCAACTCCACCCTATTGCTCTGCGTCCAGTGCCGAGGTGTGGTCTTTGCTTAGCTGTGCTCCGTGAAAATTCCCAAGACAAGACAAGGAGGAAGCAGTGACAGCTCAGGCCAGGACAAAGCTCCATTTCGTTTCCCTGCCCCACCCCCCAACTCCCCCACTGCCTTCCACATACCCCTGAGGCGAGCAGAAAAGCAAGTGTGAATATTATTCTCCACCTGAGTTCCCTTTTGCATAAACTAATTACCAGCCCAACTGCCAATAAATTACTAGTATAAAAAGTTGTGTGTGTACACCGAGAGACGGAGAGAGAGATATGTATATAGAGTCATGGAGTCCAGGCTTTTTTACTTGCCCTCTCTCTTGTGGGCAGCTTCAGACAAAAAGCTTCTGTCTGTCCCCCGAAGAGTTCATCGGGTCATGGGTGCCACGTAGTTGGCAGGGAAGAGGCCCAGTTTGTCGCGCAGGCGGCCAGTCCACCAGGATGGGTTGGAGCTGTCCAGGACCTCGAGCACCTCCCCGCTCTGGAATCCCAGCTCGTCAGCCTCCAGGGCCTCAAAGTCGTACAGCGCCCGGGCCCACCGCACTCGCTGTCGGGCGAAGCACAGAAGAGGCTCTGCTGAGCTGTGGGCTGGGCAGGCAGGGAAGGGTCTGCTGGCTCCTCCCACCACACCTAAGTCCTTTGAGAGCAACATTCCCTGAAGGCTGACCCCTCTGTAACTTAAAAAAAAAATGTTTGTAGGCTAGGTGCGGTGGCTCACACCTGTAATCCCAGCACTTTGGGAGGCCAAGGCAGGTGGATCACCTGAGGTCAGGAGTTCGAGACCAGCCTGACCAACATGGAGAAACCCCAGTCTCTACTAAAAATACAAAATTAGCTGGGCGTGGTGGCACATGCCTGTAATCCCAGCTACTTGGGAGATTGAGACAGCAGAATTGCTTGAACCCAGGAGGCGGAGGTTGCAGTGAGCTGAGATTGCACCATTGCACTCCAGCCTGGGCAACAAGGTGAAACTCCGTCTCAAAAAAAAATGTGTAGAGATGGGGTCTTGCTATGTTGCTGAGGCTGGTTTTAAACCCTTGGCTTCAAGTGATCCTCCTGCCCTGGCCTCCCAAGTAGCTGGAACTACAGGTGTGAGCCATCACGCCCGGCTATCCTGCTCACCAGAACTCACCAGCGTCACTCTGGAGATTCAGGACTTTTACCAACAGATGTTATTGTCCAAGGTCCCAAGAGGCTCCCTGAGAATCACTCTTTCCACATCAATAGGTGTCTTTTCAGCTTCTTTGAGTGACAAACGGAATGGCAATATGTCCCAAATAACAGCCCTGGGTGTTAGGGCAATCAAGTCACAAGTCAAGATGGATCACAGGCCAGGCACGGTGGCTCATGCCTGTAATCACAGCCCTTTGGGAGGTTGAGGTAGGAGGACTGCTTGAGCCCATGAGTTCGAGACCAGCCTGCCCAGTGTATTGAGAGCTTATCTCTACAAATAATACACTTAGCTACTTGGGAAGCTAAGGCAGGAGGACTGCTTGAGTCTATCAGTGAGCCATGATTGTGCCACTGCACTTGAGCCTGGGAGACAAAGTGAGACCCTGCCTCACCCCCCCACCTCACCCCCTAGAAAAAGGAATGATAAAAGGCCATGGTAAAGACCTATGATAAAGATGATAAAGAACTAGAATAAAGGACTCTGAGAACAGGGAAGGCACCAGCCAGACCGTGCCGGCTCAGCCCCAGGCCTCCCCAGATGTTCCATCATTTCTCATTGGCATCTGTGTGGGTTTTTTGTTTCCGTTTTTGAGACAGTGTCTCACTCTTTCGCCCAGGCAACCTCTGCCTCCCAGCAGATGTTATTTCAAGTGATTCTCCTGCCTCAGCCTCCCGAGTAGCTGGGATGACAGGCGCCTGCCACCACATGAGCTAATTTTTTGTATTTTTGGTAGAGATGGGGTTTCACCATGTTGGCCAGGCCGGTCTCAAATTCCTGACCTCAGGTGATCCACCCGCCTCGGCCTCCCAAAGTGTTGGGATTGCAGGCGTGAGTCACTGCACCCAGACAGATCTGTGTGATTTGAGTCTCCTGCCTCATCTCCTCCACTGAGCTCTGTCCTAGGGCCTTTCCCCAGGGATCCCAGAGAGTGACGGCTCCCATACCCCTGCTGCCTGGAGCTGCACTGGGTCTGTGTGTCTCCGATGCATGAGGGCCGTATTCATTTCACTGCCCAGGCCAGCACCACAGTGCCCGTCATTTATGTCAAGGCTGCCTCCTCGGCGTTCCTGGAAACATGCAACAGAAGACTGGTCACCCCACTGCCAGGACATTTCCCACAGGCCTCCCCCAGTGCCCTGGCTCAGATGCGATCCACACAGCTGGTATATTCCAGGAATACTTACTGATGATGATAATAAAACCTCCATGCTGAGGGGGAGGATGACCTAAGGTCTAAAGGGACCTTAGATTCTGAAGGCAAAGAAGGCAAAGGTGGGTTTTATTTATTCAGTCAAAAATATTTATCAGGCACCTGACATGTGTTCAGTAGCAGACACAAAGGAAATATAGCTGGAAAGAGAAGATCTCTGACTTCATGGAGCTTCCATTTAGAGGAGGAACCACACACATTTAAGTGAGCAGAGAGAAGAAATGTCTATATCTGCCTGGGAAATCAAGGAAGGCTTCACAGAGGAGGTGATGCTTAAACTCTAGCTTAAAGGAGTAGGACTGGCCAGGGAGGGGCTCATCAGGCAGAGGGATCAGCATGTAAAATGCCACAAAGGCATGAAAGGAAACACAATAGACCATTCGGGTAACTAAGTTAGTGTGAGGTTGCTAGAATGTGTGTTTGCACAGGAGTCAGGTGGGGGGGCAGGTAGCAGGGATGAGACTGGGGAAATAGATTCTGGCAGCTCACAAAGGACTTTGCATGCCTGGCTAAGGAATTTAGGAACGATGTTATCTAGCCATATTGTCCACCCGAAGTAAGCCGAAGTAAGCCGCCTGAAATCCCACTGGGAACAAGGCGGGGGACAGATAGATAGATAGATAGAGAGATAAACAAACAAGGCTCCGTTATGCATATTAAGCCTTTCTTTCTTGTGGTTCTCCACAGCCAGATGGGTTAAGGGGCATGAAGAGATTTGGAATTCTGCTGATAGGAAAATGAAGCAATTGTTCCCTGAGTCCTCTTGAGAAGAGTGTGTGTGTGTGTGTGTGTGTGTGTGTGTGAGAGAGAGAGAGAGAGAGAGAGAGAGAGAGAGAGAGTGTGTGTGTGTGTGGGTAGGTGGGGGGTGCTGGGCCAGGCCTGGAGGGGAGGCAGGTTCTCCTTCTCACCGGACTGTGCCCGCTGCCTTCATTCCAGATACCTGGTGGAAATGGTGGTGCTGCAGATACCGCTGCTGTGGTGGCTGGGGCGCTGGGGTGTACTGTGGAGGCTGTGGTTGGTGCTGCTGCAGGGGAACGGTTGGGGGGTGATCCGACACCTTCCGGTTCATCGAAGGCCGGATTTCTTCTCCCACAGCCCCACTGAGGTGTGGGCCTCCCTGGGACCTCCGGTCCAGGCTGTTGCCACGGCGACCCTGGGAGAGAGAACAGAGATGCGTCCTCCTCTCTGATCTTTTGGCTCTGCCCCACCCTTGGGCAGTTGTTCTCAGACGCTGCTCATCCTGCCCCCATGCTGGTGGGGTGGGGACAGCTGAAAGAATTGATGCTTCAGACCTTTACATTTTCCAAAGTGGCCTCTGCATTCTTGGATCCTCCCAGTTTTAGGAATTCAGGTCTGGGGTTCACAGACTAACATTTTCTGCCTGGTAGCCATTTAGTTGATTTCCAGAGGTGCTTGTTTTTCTCTGTGTAATCAAGCTGAATATTCCATTTTACTGACACAATGCCACCCCTTCTTATCACATGTTGCCACATGGCTGGACATCCTACCTTCTAGATAAGCTCCACTGTTGACTTTGCATGATTTTAAACTGTCATTTATAGCCTGGTGATAGAGACCCAAACAGCAACATTTTTGCAACACCATGGGAACCAGGCCTGCCGCTGGGCGTGGAGGAAGAAGCAAGCCCTTTCTCCCTAATGTTAAAACAGAAATACCCTATTGTTATTTTCATGTAAGAAACAATTACATAGGGCCCTGGGCATAGTATATACCAGGCACTGTTCTATGCGCTTTACAATGATCAACCCATTCAATCCCGTTTAATGAAATTTGATACTGCTTCTCTTATCTCTGAATGCACGTCCTAGTGAGTTACTCTGTCCATTTCCTGGTTAGAGTGATTCACAAGGTCTTGGCTAACCTTTGTTTTCCTTTTTGAAGTTCTGTGTGCACTTGGTGGGAACTTCTTTCCACCTTTGGCAGTAACTTCTCAGGCTTGCCTTTCTTGAAAAGGAGGATTTTCTTGACTTCCCCAAAGCACACATTGCTTTCATGGTCTTAATGCCTTTTCAAATAACCTGTCCCTAGGATTTCAGCTAGTCTAGTGAATGCTTCTTCCTGTGATACCTGTCTCTTATAACCATGTTATTTCCTTTGAAAAGTAGTTTATAAATTGGTATGTGTGTGTTTGTGTGTGTGTGTGTATGTGTGAGTGTGTGCATAGTGTGAATTTACTTATGGGAGGCAAGTTAACATTTTCTTTTCTTTTTTGTGGGGCAGGGGGACAAGTCTCACTCTGTCACCCAGGCTGGAGTGCAGTGGCGTGATGTTGGCTCACTGCAACTTCCGCCTCCCAGATTCAAGTGATTCTCCTGCCTCAGCCTCCCGAGAAGCTGGGACTATACGCTCACGCCACCATGTCCAGCTAATTTTTGTATCTTTAGTCAAGATGAGGTTTCGCCATATTGGCCAGGATGGTCTGTCTCTCTAGACCTCGTGATCCACCCACCTTGGCCTCCCAAAGTGTTGGGACTAAAGGCATGAGCCACCACGCCCGGCCAAGTTAACATTTTCTTAGTGCTTAGTATGGACCAGACTCTGGTAGTACTTAGCTGTATTACCTTATTTAATCCTCACAACAGTCCAGTGAGGAAGGTTTTATTGTTCTCTCCACTGTACAGATGAGAAAACTGATACTCAGAAGGTTTCTTAACTTCGCTACGTAATACAAGTAGCTAAGCGATTAAATCAGGATTTCATACCACGTCTGTCTGATGCTTTTTCTTTTAAAGCAACACTCTGTATTCCAAGCAGTTCCAACAGCAAGAATTCCAAGTACAGATTTCTCCTCCTGTGTCCTCCCCACCCCCAATCCTATCATCACACTCCACCTGCTGATTTAATTCCCGGACTCTAGGCTGTTCCTTAATGCCCTGTCTGTAGCACCCCCAACTCCTTCATCCTTGGGCAACTCTTAAACTCGGTTGAAAACTTTGGTGTAGCAATGTCTACAAATAATAAAAAAAATAGCACCTGCGGCTGGGAGTGGTGGCTCATGCCTATAATCCCAGTACTTTGGGAGGCAGAGGCTGGTGGGTCATGAGGTCAGGAGTTCGAGACTAGCCTGACCAACATGGTGAAACCCCGTCTCTACTACAAATACAAAAATTAGCCAGGTGTGGTGGTTCCTGCCTGTAGTCCCAGCTACTCAGGAGGCTGAGGCAGGAGAATCACTTGAACCTGGGAGGCAGAGGTTGCAGTGGGCCAAGATTATACCACTGCACTCCAGCTTGGGTGACAGAGCAAGACTCTATCTCAAATAAATAAATAAATAAATAAATAAATAAATAAAAGAAAACCCAGCACCTGCGGTAAGAGCTGATATTTGTTGAGTGCAGTGTGGTAAGGAATAACAGGAGGCGAGACACATTATCTTCTCCCACTTTCATAGCCACCCTGGGAGGTAGATATTACCATTATCCCTATTTTATGGATGAGGAGACTGAGGCTCAGACAACTTCCAAAGTCACACAACTAGGAAGTGTTGTGCTCAGAGTTCAGAGTTCTGTCTTTCGGTCTACTCAGAGGATTTGCCCAGCCTATGCGTTTTTCCTGGTGGTTCGAGTGAGAACTTGGGCTGCCTAAACTCTCTAGGTTGGGGCTGATCAGGACTTGAAGCATACCTGGTCTTCTCGGACTCTGTCTCTGAGGAAGATCTGCTTCTGTTTGGAGATAGAGGTTGTCCTGTAGTAGTCCACCAGCTTATTTAGGGAGGGGAACTTCTCAGTCCATAGGAAGTAATTGCCCTTGTTGTCTCGCATGACCTTGAAATGTTGAACGTCATCCTCATGCCTGGAGAGCAAGGCAAAAAGAAACTGTATGTTACACTGTGATGATGTCCCTTCCTCCAGGCTGCTTGCATCTGGGATGCAGTTCTCTTTGGGCGGGAGATGTAGATTTGGATGACTCCCTCATCACCAGGCAGGTGGGCCAGCCCAGTCAGGCTTCAGCAGGAGCTTTGTAGGATGGACCACTTAGGATACAAGCTACGCTAGAGAGGATTTACCTCAGAAGAAGGTAATCGGATGAGCTAAAATTTGTCTTGGACGCTGGAACTAACCTTTGACAAGAAAAGCATGTTCCAAGTGCTGTAACGACTAAGAGATCAAAGACCCTTTCACGATGTTTATTTGCAAGATCTCCGGGGGGGGGGGGGGGTATTTCAAGCTCCTATTATCTTTCTGTTATCAGAAGTACTGTGAACCATCTCCTTTAAGCTCATAAACTAGCACTGGCAGGTAAGAAGCTACTCTCTTCCCTAAGAAATATGTCACATTTGTTCTGTATGTAATAAGGATCTCTTGATCTTGGTTTATGTTTTGCATAAATAAGGTTACAAAGTGTTTTCAGCTTTTGGGGGAAATAGCTTTGTATAAAATCACAGAGGTTTTTTTATCTTTCTTCTTTTTTTTTAGACAGAGTCTCACTCTATTGCCCAGGCTGGAATGTAGTGGTGCAATCTTGGCTCACTGCAACCTCCGCCTCTGGGTTCAAGTGATTCTCCTGTCTCAGCCTCCTGAGTAACTGGGATTACAGGTGCACCACCATGCCTGGCTAATGGCTAACTTTTTCGTATTTTTAGTAAAGATTGGGTTTCACCACGTTGGTTAGGCTGGTCTCAAAGTTCTGACCTCTGATGATGCACCCACCTTGGCCTCCCAAAGTGCTGGGATTACAGGTGTGAGCCACCATACTGGGCGGAATGATAGAGTTTTAATTGAAAAGGATCTTGGAGACTGTTTAACCTTACTTGTCCATTTCACAGATGAGAACACTGAGAGGACTCAGAGAGGCCCAGGGTTGAGGCCAGAACCCCTGAGTCTCTGACTCCAGTCTAGTGAGCTTGGCCTGTCAAGCCATGTAAACATGATAATGTCTTTTATATCAGCACCTTTTGATACCAGTCTAGACTCACAAGTGATGGGACACGTTTGAACCAGGGCTAGAGAAAATGGATTTTACCTACCTAGGAAGGGTGGGCTGAACTTTTACCATTAGATCCAGTTTTACTTCATTGCCAAGTCATTCTCTTTTGGATGTAAAGTTTATTTTTTCAAACGGTCATACATTTATATCTAAAAATAAACTGGCACTAGTGATGCCAACTGCCTGATATGAAAGAAAGGTCAAGGATTTTAAAGGGTCTCGGAGAATAAAGATACCTCTGAGAGTAAGTGGAGGTTTCTTAGGGTTGGATTTAGGGATCTGTGTTAAGAAGGAGATGGAAATTCTGGCCCTCAGTCTCATCTTACGTGCTGGAATTTTCTCACAGCGGGGTGAAGCCAAAGGTTGTACAAGTGGCCTCTCGCTTGACTGATTTGGGGTGGTAATCAACACATCACAATCACTGCGTAGTCTTCCCCTTGGTTTTTGGCCACCAACAGATACTTTGTTCATTCTAAGACAACGTGGCTCAACTCAAAGTCATTACCCTTTGCATCTGGGTGAGGAGGAGGAAATATGCTTGTGATATGATAATTATTCATTCACCACCTCATAGTTAAAGAACTCAGAGTGTGAAACACTGCCCCTTTTACTCTGATGAGCTGTAAGGGTGGATGTGAGGGTTGTAGTTGGTCATCTGGGTCTACAAGGAGAGGTCTGACCACTGTCTCAGGCCTGAAGAGGGACAGAGGAAAGGATGCGATTCAGGGCGCTAGACTCTGAAATCTAGTGGTTTAGGCCCTTAACAAATGCTGAGTGATAGAACTACAATTAGCTCTTAATTATCTGTGCCCATGACAGATGTAAAAATAATTAACAATGATTTTGCTTTGGAATATATTATACTACATTTCTGTAGAAGATGTGATAATGATTATGGTAATTGTCACCATAACTAGAAGCTTCATTGCCTCAATATCAGGGGAAGACTTTGGCAGAAGTCAAGGCTGACTGTTTTGTAAAATTCACTTTAATAAAGGAAATATAAACCATAGTTTCAGGGTCGGGTGTGATGGCTCATGCCTGTAATCCCAGCACTTTGGGAGGCCAATGCGGAAAGATTACATGAGGCCAGGAGTTCAAGACCAGCCTGGAAAACATGACAAAACCCCCTCTTTACTAAATCCCTACCCATACACCACAAATTAGCTGTGTGTGGTGGTGTGAACCTGTGGTCCCAGCTACTCGGGAGGCTCAGGCATAAGAATTGTTTGAACCTGGGAGGCGGAGGTTGCAGTGAGCCAAGATTGCGCCACTGCACTCCAGCCTGGGCGACAGAGTGAGACTGTCTCAAAAAAGCAAAAAAACCCACAAAAACCATCGTTTCTAGCAGAAAAAGTCAGAGTCATCTTCATGTAAACCAAAGGCCCAAGAGATACCCCTCAGTCTAACAAATTACTTGGTCAAGTTTATAATGGGGCAGAGAGGGGAATCTTAAGAAATAGATTTGACTTGGGCCGGGAGTGGTGGCTCACACCTGTAATCCCAGCACTTTGGGAGGCTGAGGCAGGTGGATCATGAGTTCAGCAGTTCAAGACCAGCCTGGACAATATGGTGAAACCCTGTCTCTACTAAAAATACAAAAATTAGCTGAGAGTAGTGGTGCGCACCTGTAGTCCCAGCTACTCAGGAGGCTGAGGCAGGAGAATCTCTTGAACTGGGGAGGCGGAGGTTGCAGTAAACTGAGATCATGCCACTGCATTCCAGCCTGGGAGACAGAGAAAAACTCCATCTCAAGAAAAAAATTTTTTTGACTTGTAATATATACACATACATATTAAATATATGTATAACGATTTTTTTCTAACAATATATGTACATAATTATTTTTTCTTTTGAGACAGGGTCTTGCTCAGTCACCCAGGCTGGAGTGCAGTGGCACAATCTCAGCTCACTGCAGCCTCAACCACCGAGGCTCCAGCAATCCTTTCACCTCAACCTCCCAAGTAGTTGGGAGCATAGGCATGTGCCACCTCACTGGGTTAATTTTTTATTTTCAGTAGAGATGAGGTCTTGCTATGTTGCCCAGGCTGGTCTCCAACTCCTCAAGTTAATTTTTTATTTTCAGTAGAGATGAGGTCTTGCTATGTTGCCCAGGCTGGTCTCCAACTCCTCAGCTCAAGCAATGCTCCCACTTCAGCCTCCCAAAGTGCTGGGATTACAGGGATGAGCCACCTCACCGACCTTGACTTGTAATATATGTTAATGGAGCAAAATTTCATTAACGAAGACCTAACAAGATTTGAATTTGGGATACATCAATATTGGCCTGAACTAAACATTACCATTCCCCAAGCTATAAAAAGAAAGTTTTTGTTGAGGAAAATTAAGAGTTTAAGCAAGACTGCAAGCACAATGCTAAAGAGACCACTTTAAAGTTAGGCGTGTGTACAAATTGTTGACCTGTTGTTAGTCTTTCCTGCCTATGCTTTCAAATATCCGTTCTTTCTAAATAGCAAAGTGGCCATGGTTTGTTACCTGAGATTGGATTTCTGTACTAAAAAGAAAAAGGAAAAGCTGCATGCCTTTCAAAATACACTGAATAAACCAGATCAGTATTTCCTGTCAGTAACTTGGTAGTAAGGTTTTACTTACTTCTCCCGATCTGCTAACACCATTACATTCCTGCAGTTTCACACATGATCAAGTCTGATATGTGACTTGTGATCCCCAACATGCTGACCACACACAGTGTGTTCAGAATCGGGCTTCCGAGTTTAGGGCTGTGTAATGTCTACACGTGGACTGAGTCACTTCCCACAGGGTGCTGCCTCTTAGTGAGGCTTCCTGTCACAGTCCCCCCGCGCTCCCGGCCCTCCTTGGCTCTGTTCTGTTGTTTTCGGTTTTGCTGTACTGTACTGTGATGAAGTCGCCTTTCTTTTTATTCAGCTGCCAACAACTAACTATACATGTATTTGTTGGGGCTCAGAAAATGACACCCCTTGGCATGCTGAGTGCTTCGAACCAAAGGAGACTGCAAGGCTTCAGAAGCAGCCTTGGAAGCAAAGTCTACCTTTGGGGTTCTCCTGCCCTCCTGTCTCCTGCTCCTCTTTCTCCCCCAGAGTGAGTCACAGAAATTAGAATTCCTCTTCTTCACAGCGGGTTAGAGAGACTACAAGGGTCACTGTGGGGGAGGCCAAGGCAGGAGGATTGCTTGAGCCCAGGAGTTTGAGACCAGCCTAGGCAACACAGTAAGACCTGGTCTCTACAAAAAAAATAAGTAAAAATAAAATTAGCCAGGTGTGGTGGTGTATACCTGTATCCCCAGGTGCTCGAGAGACTGAGGTGGGAGGATTGTTTGAGCCTGGAACATGGAGGCTGTGGTGAGCCATGACTGCACCACTGCACTCCAGCCTGCGCAGCAGATAGAGACCCTATCTCAAAAAAAAAAAAAAAAAAAAAAAAAAAAAAGGAGGAAGACTTGGGACAGGCCTTGCTCAGTTTTCCACCTCAGTCTGTTACCTTAGATCAAACCGCCTTTGTCCAATCCCATTTCTACAGGGCTATCTACCCTTCATTTAACCTAAGCATATAAATAGACGGCCTTCCCTGGGTCTTGGGTCTTCATTTTTGAAGGCTTCTGTGTCACGCGAATCTTTGATTAAATAAATTTGTTCACTTTCCTCTTGTTAACCTGTCTTTTGTAGGAGTGTCAGCTGTGACTCTTCTGATGGGCGAAGAAAGGTACCACACCTATTCCGCCCCTGCATCCTACAGCAATGACTTGAGATTTCTATTTTTCCCTGGCTCTTCTTCAGATATGCATCAATCGTAAAAGAAAAGGTTAAGATTTCAACCCCCAGATGGATGTGGACAAGTGGGAGTTCTCCTCCTCCTTCCCCTCCTTCCTGCCACAAATACTCACTGAGTGTCTCTATTTTGCGCAAGACACTGTTAAAGGCATAAAGATGAAGTAGAGGAAAATCCGGCCCTTCCAGAAGCACCTGGGATAGAAGGGGAGGCAGATGGGCATAGAAATGATTTTGAACACACACCAGTGTGCTAAAGAGTGGTGTGTGCATATTCTGGGAAGGTTGTGAAGCTGCTGCCGTGCTTGGCCCATTGGCCACCATGCTTCTGATCACTAGGTCATGTTCCAGAGGTCACTTCAGCATTCTGGGAGGTTAACAGGCCGAGAAGGGCCGGTGCGGTGTCAGGAATGATCAGTACCTGACGGAGATGGAGAAGTCCCCTGGGGAGCTCTGGCTGGCCCGGATGATGAAGAAACCAACCTCCTTGCCCATGAGTAAGTTCTCTGCCTGGTGTCGAGAGAGGCCTTCATGAAACCATCTGTGGGACGAGATCAAACCAGAGGATCAGGATGAGACACAGGAGTGACAGGAGGGAGACGTGGAGAAGAGGTGACTCCGAGGGAAAGAGGCTGGGTACTCTGTACAGCAGGGAGCAGAGAGAGACCGAAGATGGACCAGGTGCTTTTTGAAATCAAACCAGTGCTCCGGGCGGCTTTCAGGAAAGGCGAGGGAGCATTCCCCTTGACTCATCCTCTTTGTTCCTTCTCTCCAGGAGAAGTCTCTGGCCTGGGAATCGAATCATGGAAATGTGTCGCTGCACCAAAATGGGGCAGTGTGGGAGTGACTCACTGCAGGAAGCAGCCGCCTGCTGGCAGCTGCGAAAGAGATAGACCAGAGCTGCAGGGACAGAGGATGCACCCAGGAGGGAAGGGACCACTTCAGGCACTGGGGCCAACCAGGTGCAGCTGGCTGAGCAGGGCCTGGGGCGCTTATGCCCACACTGGAGCCCCAGTGGTCTAGAGGCTCCTCCCTGGGCATTAAGGGAGAGTTATAGGCCAGGACGTACATCGCCTGGGCTGGCATGGAGCACAAGGGGGCTGTGCTCAGTGTGCCTAGCAGAGGCTGCAGTGTTCCTAGGGAGCCCAACGTACACGCTTAGAAAGGAGTGAGGCTGGCACCAGCCAGAGAGTGGCGTCTATACAACCAGATCCTGGGCCTTCCCCCAAAAATCCAGGCTGGGAAATAATCTTTACTATGGAAAAGAACAAACAGGAGAAACTGCTCTTTCAGCGGAACAGTCAGGGTGGCAGCTCCTGGAAGCACAGCTGCACACAGTGTGGCATGTATGAAATAGGTCAAACACTTACACAGAGCCAGCAAGCCGTGGCTGCAGCGTCAAGGCAGGAGGCCAGAGACCTCTCTCGATCACAGACAAGCAAAATGAGTGTATGCAATTATTCGGCGGCCAAAGGTGGGACTGTGTCACATTGCTTCAAGGTGGCTGCTCTAATTGCTGCCACCAGAAGGCTCATACGCATGTTCCTTTAGCTTTGGTCAGGTCTTGGCTTTGGATTCCTTTGTGAGCAATTCTCTGTGCTTTCCAGAGTTTGAAATCTGAGACAAGGGTAGCAGGAAGGATGTATTTATTGGAGACCTGGGACTGAGGGGGAAGGTTGGCTGTGCTCCGAGGGGGCTGAAAGCAGCAGTTTCTGGTGGCCTGGAGATTCTGCCTGAGTATTTGCCACGTGGTTCTACAGGGTTAAATAAGAGAACACCACACATACCACTGCCACGTGAAGGAAATGCAACGGCAATGGGAGAAGGAATGGGGTGTGCGCCACCGCAGCCGTATTGCAAAGGAAATATTTTAGAAGGGAAGAGGATTTAAGAAATACACATTTGACTGGGCGCGGTGGCTCAAGCCTGTAATCCCAGCACTTTGGGAGGCCGAGGCGGGTGGATCACAAGGTCAAGAGATCGAGACCATCCTGGTCGACATGGTGAAACCCCGTCTCTACTAAAAATACAAAAAATTAGCTGGGCATGGTGGCGCGTGCCTGTAATCCCAGCTACTCAGGAGGCTGAGGCAGGAGAATTGCTTGAACCCAGGAGGCGGAGGTTGCGGTGAGCCGAGATCACGCCATTGCACTCCAGCCTGGGTAACAAGAGCGAAACCCCGTCTCAAAAAAAAAAAAAAAAAAAAAAATACACATTTGTCCTCTGACTGAAATCTGATCGGGGGCTTCTTTCAAGATTTGCAAAAATTACCACATATTGCATATTAGACATGAGTGGCCATGGTTTCGATATCATTCATTCATTCATCCATTCATAGCTTTGTTGAACATTTAGTACTGTGCTGGGCCCTCTCCCAGGCACTGTGGACATGGTAGTGGGCAGAACAGACACACACCCCTGCCTTTAGGGAGCTTACTTTCTAGTCAAGGGGGACACGCAATAAAGAACAAAATAATTAAGATTTGTAATGTGTCAGATAATGGTAAGTGTTGTGGAGAACATGAATACAGAGAGGGCCGATGGGGTGCTGGGGGTGGGAGATTAAGGTAAGGCATGGTGATGAGAAAGACCTCGCTGAAAAGGAGACATTCTAAACCTACAGGGGACTGGGGAGTGGGAGGACCCAGCACAAGATACGGAGGAGGAGTGGCCAGGGCAGTGGGAGGACAACCAGAGGAAAGACGTCCTGGAGCCAAAATGAAGAAGGTATTCCAGTGGGAGGGGGCGATCCCCAGGGCAGATCGTGCTGAGATGGCCCCTGGGAGCTGCAGCACATGGGGAGCCTGGTGGGAAGGGTGGGGAGGTGAGGATGGAAATAGCAAATGCGAACACTTCTGAAGAACCGGTGTGGCAGCTGGAAGGGGATTTGGGATTTAGAGTTTCCTTGTTTTATTTATTTAAATATTTTGTCTTTGAAATAGAGTCTCGTTCTGCTGCCCAGGCTGGAGTGCAGTGATATAATCATGGCTCACCACAGCCTTGAACTCCCAGGCTCAAGCGATCCTCCTGCCTCAGCCTCCCAAGCAGCTAGCTGGGACTACAGACGCAGGCCACCACACCCAGCTAATTAAAAAAAAAAAAAATTGTGGATATGGGTCTTGCTATGTTGCCCAGGCTGGTCTCAAACCCCTAGCTTCAAGTGATCCTCCTCCCTCAGCCTCCCAAAGCCCTGGGATTATAGGCATCAGCCATCACGAAACCCACCTGGCCCCTGGGTTTTGTTTTGCTTGTGTTTTGGTAAGTTGGGAGAAATTGTAGCGGGTGTGTTTACTGACAGGAATGATCCAGCAGAGAGGGAAAGAAGGTTGGTGCAGGAGAGAGAGGAGAATGTCTGCCAGCTGCAGGAAAGGCTGACCGAGCACACTTGCAGGAGGCAGGTGAATGTGGTGGGGGTGGGGATGGGGGATCTGGGAGCTTCACCTCTGGTGGCTTTCATTGTTCCAGAGAACCTGGAATCAAGGCCATGGGCTGAGTGTGATGCCGGGAGGGGCTGGAGGTTTGAGGAGCAGGTGGGGTACGCAGAGGTCACCTAGCAAACTCCTGGGCAGCATCGAGGGCCCTGTCAAGGTCAGTGGTCACTCTCTTGGCTTGGTGGTCCGCACCGGTTCACCACGAGTGGTGCTCTTGCATGTCACCGGAGTCACCAATACTACTGCGGTTTTCTACAAACTGTTGCTTTTTAAGCCAGACCCTGGTTCTGAGACAAGATTAGATTTCTATCTAACCCTTGTGGTCAATTCTTGAGACAAATGAGGCCCAATCTCCGTTTTTCATTTCCTCTTTAGGAAGGGAATTTCCCCTTTCCCCCACTGACTTCTCACAGTAGGGTGAGTACGCTTTACTGAAGGCACGGAGTGTCTGTCTGCCCACAGAGCCAAGGCTGAGAGCATAGTGAGGACGGTTAGGATTGGGAGTCACAGAGAAGTGCTTAGGAGAGCAGCAGACTGGGTGGTCAACAGTGCCCGCTTTGGAATTCTAGGGAACCCTGTGATTGAAATTTGAGTTTACAAACTCATTTTATAAAAACTGAAAATAGGCAGGGTGCGGTAGCTCATACCTGTAATCCCAGCACTTTGGGAGGCTGAGGTGGGCGGATCACCTGAGGTCAAGAATTTGAGACCAGCCTGCCTATCATGGGGAAACCCCATCTCCACTAAAAATACAAAAATTAGCCAGGTGTGGTGGCGTGTGCCTGTAATCCCATCTACTAGGGAGGCTGAGGCGGGAGGATCGCTTGAGAGCGGGAGACCCAGGTTGCAGTGAGCTAAGATTGCACCACTGCATGCAAGCCTGGGCAAAAGAGCAAGACTCCATCTCAAAACAAAAACAAAACAAAACAACCCAGAACTTAAAATAAGCTGCACATGGTGGCTCACGCCTGTAATCCCAGGACTTTGGGAGGCTGAAGCAGGCAGATCACTTGAGGTCAGGAGTTTGAGACCAGCCTGGCCAACATGGTGAAATCCTGTCTCTACTAAAAATACAAAAATTAGCCGGGCGTGGTGGCATGTGCCTGCAGTCCCGGCTACTCAGGAGGCTGAGGCAAGAGGATCACTTGAGCCCAGGAGTTTGAGGCTGCAGTGAGTGGTGATGGCATCACTGCAGTCCAGCCTGGGCAACAAAGTGAGACCCTGACTCACAAAAAAAAAAAAAAAAAAAAAAAAAAAAAAAAAAAAAAAAAAAAGAAAAGGAAAGAAAAATTTAAAATAGCAATACATGCACATGGTAAAATCAAAAGGGAATGAAATGGCATGCAAAGTCTCCATCCCGCCTTGTTCTTCAGCTGCATGCTCTGGAGGCTCTCCGGAGAGCTCTCCAGAGGCAGCCATTTTTGACAATGTCTTGGGTTCGCATGGATAATTTTAGTGACTGCTGGAAAAGTAAGAGGAGTGTGTGTGGGTAAGCCCATCTCAGCAGGCTGCGAATACTTACTCAGGAAACTGGATGTCTATGAAATTCTTGGGCACGTATCCTTCCTGGCTCCCAAGCTCCGCCTTAAACCACTCCTCTTGGTTACTTAAAATCTACATGGAAGAAAAGGAAGGACAAAGACGTTGCAGGGAGGACACCAAAAAACAAGAGAAAAAGGGGCTGCAGGGTAAAGAAAGCCCTTTTGGATTTGAAGGAAAATACTAGGTGAATAAGTCGAAAGAAGTCAACGGCTGTTCTGGGACTTACCCCAGGCCCGTGGAGGAGCCGTGGGTTTACTTTTGGAGTTTGGCTTCTCCTGACCCCAAGTTATTTCTGTCCACCTGTGGCTTCCACTCCTGTCACCCTGCTGTGGCCTGGCCTCCCAGACTTAGCACTCAGGCACTACCCTGAATCCCTTCTTCTATTTTGGAAACTCGTTTGTCCCAGGTCTTAGCACCGTAAGTTCCTCATCTGAGCAGATGGTGGGAATGCAACAATGGCTACTCATGGTGGTGGTTGTTTTTTTTCCCTTCTAGGTAACCAGGAAACTTTTCAAAAATCTAATTTGTTGTTGTTGTTGTTGTTGTTTTTGAGACAGGAGTTTTGCTCTTCTTGCCCAGGCTGGAGTGCAATGGTGTGATCTCAGCTCACGGCAACCTCTGCCTCCCAGGTTCAAGCGATTCTCCTGCCTCAGCCCCCTGAGTAGCTGGGATTATAGGCATATACCACTAAGCCCAGATAATTTTGTATTTTTAGTAGAGATGGGTTTTTGCCATGTTGGCCAGGCTGGTCTTGAACTCCTGGCCTCAGGTGATCCACCTGCCTCTGCTTCCCAAAGTGCTGGGATTACAGGCATGAGGCACTGCACGAGGCCCTTTCTAAATTTTTTTTTTTTTTAGATGGAGTTTTGCTCTTTCGCCCAGGCTAGAGTGTAGTGGTGTGATCTTGGCTCACCGCAACCTCTACCTCCTGGGTTCAAGTGATTATCCTGCCTCAGCCTCCCAAGTAGCTGGGATTACAGGCACACACCACCACGCTGGGCTGATTTTGTATTTTAGTAGAAATGGGGTTTCTCCATGTTGGTCAGACTGGTCTCGAACTTCTGACCTCAAATGATCTGCCCACCTCAGCCTCCCAAAGTGCTAGGATTACAGGCATGAGCCACTGCACCTGGCCATGTTTTTGTTTTTTAAACAGGCAGATTCAAACTTAAACATCCCAGTGGGGCCAGCTTTGAAAACAGTAACTCTTTGTGTTCACATGCTGTGTGTTTCACAGATAGTTTGGCTGGAACTCAAGATACTTGGGATGCCTTTTCTAAACCTGCTTTAAGTTCTGTCTTGTTACTCTATGGCCTTACGTTCACTGTGACCCCAAATGTTATTGCCTACCTTGGTTACTCATATTACTCACCAGACTTGACTGTATGTGGCTTCTGGTTTCTCAAAAAATGAGATTCACCATTAAAAGACAAATATTTTTCACTGCCACTGAGAATGTTTTGAAAGTCTGAGGCCGGGTGTGGTGGCTCATGCCTGTGATCCCAGAACTTTGGGAGGCTGAGGCACATAGATCACTTGAGGCCAGGAGTTCGATATCAGCCTGTCCATCATGGCAAAACGCCATCTCTACTAAAAATACAAAAAGTAGCCTGGCCTGGTGGCGCACACCTGCAGGAGAATCGCTTGAACCCAGGAGGCCAAGGTTGCAATGAGCTGAGATCACTCCACTGCACTCCAGCCTGGGCAACAGAGCAAGACTCTCTCTCAAACAAAAATTTTTTAAAGTCTATGACATAGACTAGAACAATAATTCTAAATGAGGATAGCAGAACAAAAGATGGAAAGAACCCTGATAATGTCACTGACCCACTGAATTAGATGATACCCAGGTGCCTTTCTACTTCTGGAAGTTGAGAAATTACAAGTCTTTGTTATGTTTAAGACAGTTTTTAGTTTACGTTTCTGGTTCTGAAAATATCTTAACTGACAGAAGTACAATGACAAAGGGGAAAGCAGAAATAGAAAAGGCAACCATGTGTGGAGGAGGGACCACTGGCATCGGCAGTGAAAGGAGTTACTGAGGCCAAGTTAGATGGCAATGGAACTTCCTCCTCCTGCTCTGAGGAGGTGTGGTGCATTCTGGGAATGAAATGCCTCCATGTGGCTGGAATGTAGACTGTGAATCCAGGCGTAGACAGAGGGGAAACTAGATACACAGGGCTTTGTGGGCCATGTGGAAAAGTTTATATTTTTATCTTGAAATATAGGAGGATCCCTTAAAATTTTTTGAGCAGGGAACAGTAAGAATTAGAGTTAAGAAAGAACTCTGGCTAGGTGCGATGGCTCATACCTGTAATCCCAGCCCTTTGGGAGGCCCAAGTGGGACGAATTTTTGGAGCCCAGGAGTTTGAGACCAGCCTGGACAACAAAGCAAGACCTTGTCTCTACAAAAATAAAACTTGGCAAGGCATGGTGGTAGCACACCTGTAGTCCCAGCTAATCAGGAGGCTGAGGCAGGAGGATTGCGTGTGCCCAAGAGTTGAAGGGTATAGTGAGCTATGATTGCACCACTGTACTCTAGCCCCGAAAACAGAGAGACACTCTGTCTCTAATTAAAAAGAGAGAGAGAGATTGAGGTTGAGATAGAGAGATATGTATACAGAGAGAGCAAATGCTCTGTATCAGAGATCAGAACGTTAAGGTATATTGGAAGGGTAAAGCCGGGAGAGAAACTAGGAGGATGAGCAGAGCCCTCCAGGCAAGAGATGATGGGGTCTGGGCTAAGAAGAGGTGAGGACATATTTTAGAGAAATTCTGGAAGCAAACAGGCAGGATTTCTTGACCAATCTTGGAAGTGAAAGGAGAAGAGGATTCTGGGATGCCTCTGGATTTCTGGCTTGGGAGACTGAGTAGGTGGTGATGGCTTTACAAAAATAGAAGATACAGGAGAGGAGGCAGGGCTGAGAAAGGGCTCGTGGACTTCAGATTGCATGTGGGTGATTGTGAATTGAATTCTTCAACTAAGAAGAAAAAGTCAGCGAGCAGCTGGATATGTCAGTCTGGACCCAGGAGAGAGGCTGAGATTGGAGCCTGGGGTTTCAGAGTCACCAGAAAGTGGGTGGAATTGAAGTCACAGGACCCATGGGCTTCTCTCTCGCAGAAAAGATGATGGGAAGATGATGGAAAGAGAACAAAGTGCTTGAGCAGAGATGATGATCTATATCTTTTTTTTTTTTTTTTTTTTTGAGATGGAGTTTTGCTCTTTCACCCAGGCTGGAATGCAGTGGCATGATCTCAGCTCACTGCAACCTCTGCCTTCCAGTTTCAAGCAATTCTCCTGCCTCAGCCTCCTGAGTAGCTGTGATTACTGGGAATAGAAGGCCTGTCATCATGCCTGGCTAATTTTTGTATTTTTTTTAAGTAGAGATGGAGTTTCACCATTTTGGCCAGGCTGGTTTCGAACTTCTGACCTCGTGATCTGACTGCCTCAGCCTCCCAATGTGCTGCGATTACAGGTGTGAGCCACTGCGCCCGGCCGATGATGACCTATTTCTAACATCACTCCAAGGTGGAAGGGGACAGTGTTGTGAGTTTGGAACGAGAAGACTTGGTTTCTAGCTTGACTGTGTCACTAGATATGTGATCTTGGCCAAGTCAATTACCCATATGAAAAATGGATGTAATAATAACCACCTGGCACCTCACAGAGCTGATGTGAGGATCAAATGAGCCCCGATACCTGAAAGTTCTTCAGAAAGTATAGACTCTTTAAAAAAATATACAATTCCCTCAAATGTGATATTCTTACGAGGGAGGCCTCCAGCTCTGAATAGGACATGGAAGGGTTTATACGTTCTTTAAAGCATTGCGTGTGTATGTTTTGAATTTAGTCATTTGCTCTGAAGAAATAAAAGTGTGTCCCATATTTGAGTTTGAGATTGCTGAGAACAGAAAACTTTATAGTTTCCAACATCAAATGTGACTGTTGGTGTCACTAAGGACATGTGGGTATGTGTGTGCTGAGGGGGCCAAGGGAGGAAGCAGAAAATCTAGGTCAAAAGAACTAGAAACCCAGCGGCAGTACCTCACAGCCACATAAAGAACACAGAGCACTGTACCCCACCCATTGCTCCCGAACTCATGGCTTTGGAATTCCTTTCTCCCATCACAGGGGAATGCGGTGTTTGGCTACGGCAGCAAATGTGAAACAGAAAGGGAAAAAGAGGCCAAGGTGTGTGGTGAGAACCACACCTTGAGGGCAGGTGCCAGGGCTCACGCTTGTAATCCCAGCACTTTGGAAGGCTGAGGCAGGTGGATCACCTGAGGTCAGGAGTTTGAGAGCAGCCTGGACACCACGGCAAAACTTGATCTCTACTAAAAAGACAAAAATTAGCCATGCATGGTGGTGCAGGCCTGTAATCTCAGCTACTTGGGAGGCTGAGCTGCAAGAACAGCTTGAACCCAGGAGAGGGAGGTTGCAGTGAGGAGCCGAGATGGCACCACTGCCCTCCAGCCTGGGCGACAGAGCGAGACTGTCTCAAAAACAAACAAACAAACAAACAAACAAACAAACAAACACGTTGTACTTTGTTTTCTGACCTGAAAGCAACTCTGTAATTTTAGTCACCATGCCTCAGACCTCCTCTAGAAACTGAAGATGATCCCACAATGCAGCCATTTCTCCCCACCACCTGGGGCTGGTCTACCTAACATCGTGTTTCTAGAGAGGTGAATTTACAGGCTTTTTACTGTGTATAGAAGGCGAGGTTTTTTTTTTAAAAAAAAAAAAACAACAAAAAAAACCAAAACTCATTTTCTGCAAAGAAAGGTATTTGGGGGGGGGGGGGAGATGGCTTCCTCCTGCCGTTGTGGGCCCAGCGCCCCGGACTTCCTGTTCTTCTCATCTCTGCATCTATTCAGTTCCCCTATCTCATGTACCATCGTCTAAACCTGAGCTAGGCGTTCAGCCTAAACACTTGAAGTTTTACTTTTAACTTTACTGTATCTTAATTCTTATAATGTTCCCTAAGAGATGATTTTCTGGGTTACGTGTCCTGAGAATAAGTTAGACGTGGGAAGAGAAGGGCCAAATTATGGCTGGAAGAATTTTAAATTGGATGAAATTGTAGCTTTTAGAAGCATAGCAGAAATCTGAAGTATTGAAGAAGCAAATTATGTAGAATTAACTCTTAGGGCTTTTAGGTTGCTATTTTAGCAGGAAGAAATGAGGTTGAATTAGATGCATTATGGAAGGATACAGAAATGGACTGGGTCAAGAGACTTTTTTCAAAGCTACTGGCAAATTTCACGGCAAATCCCAATGTGAGGCTGGTGCTGTATAAAGCTGCAGGTATGGAGGTTTGTGGTATGAACAGGAAAAAAATCTGATTCCTGACTTTTCAAATGTTTCTGTCACAGGAGAAGCAAGATCAAGTCACATGGCGGCGTTTTCTGCTCACCGTCTTGTTTACCATGCCGTGCAGGTCAGCTTCTGGTGAGCACCTGCAGATCGCACTCAGGTGCATCATAAGTAAGCTGGGGCCTCTGCTCCAGGAAACTCATGGTCTGCTGAGGGTGGGTGGCTGCTCAGAATTTTTTTGTATCTTTCTAATGAAAACTTCTGTTTAGTCTTCAGCAGAGAAGGCCAAACGAGTCAGAGCATCCCAGAAGCGAATTGCTGGGGTAGTCAGGAGCTGGCTTTGAAAGCATTTATGAGGATCCTGGGCATATTACCCATTGAGGAAGGTAGGGGCAGATACTGCAATCACGTGTGGGGAGCCCCAGGCATGGGCACCAACCACAATCCTGCAGACATTCCATGGAGCTCAGTCAGCAAGCCCTCCCTATTTTTCTCTTTACCTGCAATGGACAGAATTTGAAAAGAGGTTTTCTGATGGAATTCTAAATGAACAGGAAGAAATGCAATTTAGCAATTCAAGAACTATGTACTGGGCATCTATTTGGGGCCATGATTTGTGTTAGATGCTATGAAGACACAAAGATGAATCTGGCATTGTGTGCGCACACGTGTATAATGACACTGATCTCAGGGAATGAAGAATCAAAGCTTCATCCAGTCATCAAGTATCAGGGAATTCTAGACACAGCTCTTCTAGACACTGAGGCAGACACAGCCCCTGCCCTTGCACAGCTTTGGCCAGGGGATTAGACAACGTGTAAATGAGCAGTCAGGATCCCACGGGGCAAAGGCAGCAATCAGAGGTGGAAACAGAGGGTGCCTGAGACCCTAGGTCATGGCCTACATATAAACAGCTGCCACGTGAGGCCACGTTCTAAGTGCCTGGAAATGAGTGAAGCTTGTGTGAAATGCTGGGGAGGAGCTGAAGAGGGACTGATTTGTTTTCCTGGGATGGTAGGGAGTGGGGAGGACCAGTGAGGTTTCCATGGTAAAGGAGGTCAAATATGTGTGTGTGTGAGAGGAGAGGGGCTCTCCAAGTATATAGGGGAGAGGCTGAGAAAGGGCGGTGTACAAATTACGGTGCAACCTGGGGGCATTATGTCCACAAAGATGTCTGTGTATGTATGTGCACACATGTGTACATGTGCATGATGACACTGGACAGTGGTTTGGGGCCAGATGTTTTCGATTTCAATCAGTCATTGCAAACCCCTGAATGCTTTTGAGCAAGGATATGATATGATCTGGTTTGTCGGGAAAGATCCCTCTGGGAGTAGTATGTAGAATGAGTGAAGGAGGAAAAAGACAGGAGGCAGTGAGGTCAGTCAAAGAGCTGTGGCAGTGATCTGAGCAGTCAGAGGCAGCAGGGACGGATCCTCTCGGTAATTCGGGCTACCATCTATTGGGCATCTGCGTTGGGCCAGAGTCATCACCTCAAATCCTCCCCACAATCCAGCAAGATAGATACTACCTCCATTTGCTGAGGAAGACGCTAAAGCTCAAACAGAGACAGGTGACCAGGCCCCACGGCCAGTAAGCTGGGATTCAGACTCAGATTCATCTGACCCAGAATCTATGCTCCTTTTTACTGCTTCACACTCTTTTCTGGTGAAGAAGGGACTTGCTTGAGAGATACGAGAAAAAAATATATTCAGAGCAGAGTTTAGTGCTTAGGAGTCAGACACAGTTCTGTCCAGGTCCCGGATTGGTCACATTCTAGCTGCGTGACCTTGGACATGTGATTTAATCCCTAGCCTCAGTTTTTCACCTGTGAAATGGAGTGGAAATGAATGCCTACCTCATAGGTTTGCTGAGATGAGGAAATCATGTCTCCTGCAAACCACTTAGCTGCATCCTGACCCTGAACAGGAGCTCAGGAGATGTTGGTTACAGGTCACCAGGATTTGGTAAGGGAGGCACTGATGATAACTGGGGCTTTTAGCTTGTGACTGGCCTAGGATAATACTTAGAACATGGATAGGAGAGTGGCTTTGGGTGAAAGTGGGGGTGAGATGGAGGTTTCAGTGAATCTGGGCATCCTGAGTTATGGGTTGGAGTTCCTGCAGGGACATCCAGCAGACAATTGGAAGTCTGGGTCTGGAGTTCAAGAGCAAGGTCAGAGTTAGAACACGAGCCATAGACTTGAGGGTCTTTGGCACAGTGGTGATAGCTGCAACTGGAGAAGTGGACAAGATGGCTCAGAGTGAGAAGAAAAATCAGAAAGCCAAAGACAATACCTTTAGAGAGGCGTGTATTTCAGGATCAAGAGAGGAAAAAGAACCCTTGGAAATAAGACCGGTAGGAGGGCTGAGGAAGGGAGGAGAAGAACCCAGAGAGGGTGGTGCCATCAGAGCCAGGGAGAAAGCGGCTTCCAGTAGAGGGCCGGTTAGCAGTGTCAGTCCCACAGACAAAGGTTTCCGTAGGGTCTTATACGACACGTTAAAGAGATCACTGGTGAACTTCAAGAGAATGTTGAGGGGATGGTAAAAGGCAGATTTCAGAGGGCTGTGGAGTGAGTGGGAAGTGAGGAAGCGGAGTGTGCCCAGTGTAGAGAATTCTTCCCAGTATTAGCAATGGAAGAGAGGAAAGAAATCAGGAGCTGGATTGGGAAGCAGAGTTGAGCAAATTTTTTTGTTTTTTTCCTTTCCTTTTTCTTTTTCTGGGGAATAGAGAAAACTTAAGTAAGACACCAGGCTCTTTTTACTATGGAAGATGAGGGTGGAAGTTGGTGTCAGGATGCATCTGTTTCAGTGGCTGATAGTCACGTGGTGACAGTGCCCCAGGAGGAGGCAGCAACTTTTCACCGCATAGCAAGTCCCTCCAGGAGCTTGGTAAGATCCCAACGCAGTGAAAGACAGCTTCTCCTGGGTCAGCAGGCCCAACTCATATTTTAAGTTTGTGAAGGCCTCTGCTTTGCCACCACATTACTAGACCTTGAAAGTTGAGAGCAGTTAGAAGGCTACCTACTGGGCATGTTCATATTCCACAAGAAAGCATTCTGTGTGTTTTGTGCTCCTCAGACACTCTCAGCCACCCTCTCACATGCTGATGAGGTTCTTTGTATAACAAATGTAATTCTCGGTGGTGAGACACTAATGGCTCAGTGCCATTGGACATCTGAGAAGGCTCATCAGCGCTGCTGAGGAACAGGGATCAGGCTATCTGAGGGTGCTCTGAGGCCAGGGAGGGGGGCTCTGGCTCCACACACTCCCAAACAGCCCCCTGAAGGACTTGTGCTCTTTGGCCAAAAAAAAAAAAACCACAAAAAACAACAAAAAAACCAGAGGCTAAGATGCAGAGTCTGAAAGGATGGTGCATGAATGTGGGAGAAGCCCAGGGTCACTTCAGCTCAGCAAGTGGCCACTACAACTCAAGTGCTGGCTGAGGACAAGTTTTAAGCAGCCCCTAAGTGGCCAGGTGTGCATGGCCTTTGTTGAGCCTCATCCTCTGTGACTGCCTTTCCCAAGCTGTCTCCACCCACAGCCTCTCCTCCTGAGTTCCAGCTCTGCTGAGCCTGGCACTGCTCCCTGAATTTAGCACGGGCTTGCACATGTGTGAGCTTTAGATAAAAGCCCAGCTCACCTTCAGTGCATTCCTGACATTCACACTGCACACACTCGTAAAACTCCTATCTTTTTTTTCTATTTTTTCTTTTTTTGAGATAGAGTCTCACTCTGTTGCCTAGGCTGGAGTGCAGTGGTGAGATCTTGGCTCACTGCAACCTCCGCCTCCCGGGTTCAAGCAATTCTCTGCCTCGGCCTTCCAGGTAGCTGGGATTACAAGCGCCTGCCACCATGCCCGGCTAATTTTTTTAAATTTTCAATACAGACAGGGTTTCACCATCTTGGCCAGATTGTTCTTGAACTCCTGACCCAGTGATCCACCAGCCTTGGCCTCCCAAAGTGCTGGGATTACAGGCATGAGCCACCACGCCCGGTCCAACTTCTTTCAAGGGGGAATCACTTGTTTCCTCACCTGTGCTCCCTGAGAACTTAGCCAAGAACATCTGTAACAGCCCTTTGGGGTGGATGTGTTCCCCTCTCCGGACGACGAACCTCTCAGGACCTGGATGGTGGCTTCTGCTGACTCTGTATTTCTATCGCCTGGCCTGGTTGGTGTCTGGCATAAGTGTGTGCAAAGGGAATCGCGGTGAACTTCTCTTTTTAAAAGGAACCACAGGCAGTTGTTGAGAGACAGAGGCAGGGACTGTTAGATTACTGAGGAACCGAAACTCCCTATTGCTCCCTTGGGGCCCCACGTAACCTACCTTCAAAACATCTCCAGTGTGAAAGCTCAGCTCATCCTCACCTGAGGCAGTGAAATCAAACTTGGCGACGGCTTCCATGCTGTAACGTGAAGCTGGAAGAGAAATAATGCGGTCATTGTGCCTCTTTGCCAACAGGAGGACAGCAGAGCCGATGGTGCTTCCTGGCACTCAGCAGTTCCCAGCAGAGTGGGCAGATGGATGTCTCCAGGCTGGAGAGCAAGGCTCAGGCGCACAAGGGCTTGTGTTTGCAGGAAGAGCTGTTGGAATCTTCAGGATCTGGGTCCTGGGATCATTCTCTGAATCCCCAGATAGCAGGAGCAGGAAATGAAGGCCAGCTGCAGCCTTTCCCTTCTCCTTTCATCATCCTGGCCTGATACCACTTCTGGGGGCATCTCTGTTTGCAGCTGATAAGGAGGGAAGGCTTACTATCATCTGCAACTTGAGGCCCAAGGGGCTGGAAAGACTATTCTGTAAACACTGTCCCAAGGCTGTCCCTTGGCAGCTATATTTAACCAGGCAGTGTTAATTAGACAGATGCCATTTCCTCTCTCACACTGGAATCATTTAAGAGAATTAGACAGCATTGGCCAGTGGGGAACTCAGCTTCCTTCATGCAGAAGGAAGAGTTGAGAGTAGAAAGCATTTTTTGGTCTTCGAGTTGGGAGACTCAATTGGTCAGATTACTTAATTTATGATGATATTATAAACCAAGTATATTTTGGAAATTTTGATTTTAATATTTTTGAATTGAGTTAAAATAGCGGCCCCCTTCTCATAATGCATGAGACCCATGTAAAGATAAATGAGTCAGCCTATGTGATACATTGAGTACGAACTTGAGTTGTGCTTTAGAAGACAGTGGGAATGTAACGGCAAGAGAGCTGGCGCCGATCCCAAGTTTGTTGGTAGAAAGCTGTACACTCTTACGCAAGTAACTAAACCCTTCGAGTCTGTTTCCTCATCTATAAAATGGTGATCAGAATATTCAATTAATAAAGTTGTAAGGTTAAATCAAATTATAGATGCAGACTGGGCACGGTGGCTCATGCCTGCAATCCCAGCACTTTGGGAGGCTGAGGTGGGCGGATCACCTGAGATCAGGAGTTCGAGACCAGCCTGGTCAACATGGAGAAACCCCATCTCTACTAAAAATACAAAAATTAGTTGGGTACAGTGGCATACGCCTGTAATCCCAGTTATTCAGGAGGCTGAGGCAGGAGAATCACTTGAACCTGGGAGGTGGAGGTTGCAGTGAGCCAGGATGGTGCCACCGCACTCCAGCCTGGGCAACAGAGCAAGAGTTCATCTAAAAAAAAAAGCAAAGTTATTATACAAGATAAAGCTAAATGGTACTTATGTTTTAAAATAATTTTATGGAATGAATTTTTCCACAGCAAAGGTAGCCTGACCAAAATCAGCACGAGTTTTCTTCTGTTCCTCCCATCTCCTGTGAACTCTTCTCATTGAAATTGGAGACCCAATCTCCATGACTATCAAACACTGTGATTCTCTGCGAAGACAGCTTACTGTCAGGACAATCTTGAAAGCGGTTATTTTGTTGTTGATCAAAATTTCCCTAAATCTCAAACCCTTTAGATTGGAAAATAAATACCCTCAAACCTAATCGTCTTTCAGTGACCAGTCAACTGGGACCACAGTTGTCCTCTCAGCGGGATTTCCTACCCAAGTAAGTGAGATTGGGTTAATGAGGAAGGTGGCTGCCAGTGAGAGGGTGAAACGCCAGGAGATCAGAGGATTAAAGCCGACTGCAACAGGGTGATAGCAAGGGGCTTGTTTCTCTGATTCTCCACAATTGCTCCATCTTTTGCAGGTAATTTATAGAGATGAATATTACCCATTCAAAGGTAGATGTTAAGCAAAAAATAGTCCTGGAGTCAAAGTAAAAGGTCATAGTTAACTCTCTGAGCTTTATCACCAGTCAAAACGTACTTCCAAACAAAACCACCACAGATACACTTTTTGTACACTTTCTTCAAGATCCATCTATCGAAGGCAAATCAAAATTGTTGTGACCTAGGATGACCCACTCAACAGGAAGGAGTATTCTGCCCTCCTAAGTTAATGCTAAATGCCTTTGCTGATTTGATTCACCCCATCACTTTAGCACGCAAGGCTTCTTCTAATTAAGGCTTTGACTCTAGTTTGCAGAGAGACATGGCTTCTGTGGGTCATCCTCATGGTATCAACAGTAGACAGTGGTCACCTCAGGGGATCAAGTGTCAGGTGAATGGTCCTGAAGACCAAGATCCCATTTCTATGCAAATTCACCTTAATAAGCAGGATGGAGACAAGAGAAGGGCAAATGCTAAACATATTAGAAAGTTACATAAAGTAGAAATGGAAAAAACATCCAAGGTAAGTAAGCTCTAGATATGGGGAAGATCTTTCCAACATGACATGGAACTCAGCTCAGGCTTGGGCGCTGGGGCCAGGCTGGCTGCAAAGCCCTTCAGTGAGAAGTGAGAAGGCCAAGGCAGAAGTAAAACGGCTTCCGAAAAGTAGCGCTTTTCTCTGCCTTCCCCCAGGAGGCAGGCGGTATGGCAAAGCCTACGACACAGGCATGTCACAGAGCTCCCCAGCTTATAATATTAATCCTGGCTCAGAAAAACCCAATTAAACAGGCCCACTCTTCATAAAATCGCTTTGAAAAAAAATTGTTTGTTCCCATTTCCATTTGCGAAATGAAGTCTGCTTGGCTGCTGTTTGCTCAGGGTGGGGTGGGGTATGTTCTCTTTTTGTTTAAACCGCAGGGCTTCAAAAACTCTTCCCTTGAAGCACCCCTCATAGCAGAGAATGGTAAATATGCCACCCTCGGGTGTTGGTCTTCTGTTTGATCATTAAAACACATGGAAATGTATATCCCATTCCTCTATAACCATTAGTGTTAATTTTGAAAAGTTTAAAAATTACCACCAGAGCCAACATGGTGAAACCTCATCTCTACTAAAAATACAAAACTTAGCTAGGCGTGATGTTGGGCACCTATAATCCCAGCTACTCGGGAGGCTGGGGCAAGAGAATCGCTTCAACCCAGGAGGCGGAGGTTGCAGCGAGCCGAGATTGTGCCATTGCACTCCAGCCTGGGCAACAAGAGTGAAACTCCGTCTCAAAGAAAAAAAAATTACCACTAGGGAAAAAGGGAAGTGAACTAATACAGTTTATTCAGTATTTATCCATTTGTTTTATGATCTGTACCTGCCACCACTACATACTGCACTGGAGAAACAAGAAAAAAATATGATTGAGCTAAAAACTGGGTAGCAGCAATTCAGAGAGAGTTGTGGGGGGCGGAGAGCAACAGCCTGAATTCAAGAATGCAAGGAAGCCTTTTTGCTGCTGTTTTCAATTTCAATGCTTGTCACTTCTGGGGACCCCTCAGCTGGGTGTGGTGGCTCATGCCTGTAATCCCAGCACTTTGGGAGGCCAAGATGGATGGATCATGAGGTCAAGAGATCAAGACCATCATGGCCAACAAAGTGAAACCCTGTCTTGACTAAAAATACAAAAATTAGCCAGGCATGGTGGTGGGCGCCTGTAGTCCCAGCTACTTGGAAGGCTGAGGCAGAAGAATCCCTTGAACCCGGGAGGCAGAGGTCGCAATGAGCCGAGATCATGCCACTTTACTGCCTGGTGACACAGCGAGACTCCATTAAAAAAACAAAAACAAAAACAAAACAAAACAAAGAAAGTAAAAAGAAAGAAAAGAGAGACCCCTCTTCAGAGAACTTCACAGATGAATTACATGTGCTTTCCCTGCCAGTGATGGGCTTTAAAACTGGCTGAAATGCTACCTGCCATACAGTGTGAGAAGCTGCATCCTCCAAGGGCAGCCAAGCCACCTGCAACAGCAGCACCCCCTGTCCCCGCCCCGCCAACCCCGTTGATGATGACGCCATCTGTAGGGCCTCACTGCTAGCTCTGCTTCTTACCAGCCCTCTGCACCTCTCTCCCTTACCCCTTTAAGAGCTGTCATGCAATAGCCATTAGCAGCATGCAGTACGGATCTGCTTTACCAGAGGATCATGCCACACCAGACTGGCCTGAACGTGGTTTTTTTCTGTCCTTGCATTTCCACATGAGCTTCTTTTGCCACCAAAACATCCTAAAAAATATTCAGGTGATATACCAGGAATGCTTTTCTACTTCTAAAATACAGCCACCACAGTGGATGAAAACAAAAGCCATGCGGCAGCTCTTTAAAATAACCTCCATTTTCTCAAAAACAAACAAACAAACAAACAAAAAAACAAAGATGCCAGGCGCAGTGGCTCACGCCTGTAATCCCAGCACTTTGGGAGGCCGAGGCGGGTGGATCACAAGGTCAAGAGATCGAGACCATCCTGGTCAACATGGTGAAACCCCGTCTCTACTAAAAATACAAAAAATTAGCTGGGCGTGGTGGCGCGTGCCTGTAATCCCAGCTACTCAGGAGGCTGAGGCAGGAGAATTGCCTGAACCCAGGAGGCGGAGGTTGCGGTGAGCCGAGATCGCGCCATTGCACTCCAACCTGGGTAACAAGAGTGAAACTCCGTCTCAAAAAAAAAAAAAATAAAATAACCTCCATTTGAAACCCAGATTATAAGTGGATTTGTTCAGAAACACGTAGTTACCATCAAAATGGTACCCGGCAAGAAACTTCTTGATCAAATTCAGCTCCTCCTAAGTTGGCTGTGAATAGCGAAGGTTTCCATTTTATGTATCCCTTACAAAGAGCAATTGCATAACACCACAAAGCCATGCGATGATTCAGGCTCAGGACCCAGTGAGGGAAGGAGACAGGTCCTAAATTGCTATCACTTCCTATTTTCCTGGGGTAGCTCTAATTTGAATACTTGCCCCAGTTTATGTTGTAATTCAGATAAGATAATGCCTTGAAAATTTTTAAAAAGACAGAGAAACATTGCTTTTTACAAGTATTGCTTGTCATATATTTATCAGGACATCAGCAACAAAATTAATTAACTAATTAATTAATCTTTTAGAGACAAGGTTTTCTTCTGTTGACCAGGCTGGTGTGCAGTGGTGTGATCATAGCTCACTGCAGCCTCGAACTCGTTGGCTCACAGGATTCTCCCATCTCAGCCTCCTGAGTAGCTGGGACCACAGATGTGTGCCATCGTGCCTGGCTAATTTTTTTTTTTGTGTGTGTGTGTGTGTGTGGTAGACATGGGAGTCTCACTGTGTTATCCAGGCTGGTCTCGAACTCCTGGGCTCAAGTGATCCGCCTGCCTCAGCTTCCTGAAGTGCTGGGATGAGCCACCATGACTAGCTAACAAACAATTTTTATTGGCATATCTTGTATATGAAATGAAGTAAGAGAATAGTGAGATGAGTTTACACTTTA